CCTTTCTAAGGCCAAGCCTCCAGATGCTGTTATCTCAGACTTAATCACTGGTTGAAACTCAGCATTAATTTATAGAGCTTCCAAGGCTCCAAAATTTGGAGTTACTTCTCTGGCCCTCAAAACTGCTTGTACATATGTGTATAGCTGTGTATAAAAGCTTAATTTTAAAGGAAAAAAAAAAAAGAAAAGAATATCCTATTTTACCTTTGTACCTTTGTCAAAAATCAGTTGCACACCTGTAGTCACAACTACGTGGCAGGATGAAATGGGAGAATGGTTTGAGCTCAGGAGTTTGAGACCAGCCTGGGCAATATAGTGAGACCCTGTCTCTGAAAACAAACAAACAAACAAACAAACAAACAAACAAACACCAGCAGTTGAAACACCCATTAGAATGGTCAAAATCCAGAACACTGACTCACACAAAATGTTGGCAATGGCAGGGAGTAACAGGAACTTTCAGTCATACAGGTGGGATGAAAGTTGTACAGCCAGTTTGGAAAATATACTCTTACCGCACACTCCAGCAATTTTCATTCCTTCACCCAGAGGAGGTGAAAACTTATGTCTCCACAAAAACCTGTATGTGGATATTTATAACAGCTTTATTCTGTGAGTGGATAAACTGTGGCACATCCAGAAAATAAAACATTATTCAGTGCTAAGAAGAAATGAGCTGTCAAGCCATGAAGACATGGAGGAAACTTAAGGGCATATTACTAAGTGAAAGTGACCAATCTGAAAAGGCTGCATACTGTATAATTCTAACTTTATGACATTCTGGAAAAGGCAAAACTAAAGAGACAGTAAAAAAGATCAGTGGTTGCCAGGGGTTAAGGGGTGATGGATGGTTCTTTTTCAAAATAGTTTTGGCTACTCTAGTATCTTTGCCTTTCCATAAAAATTTTAGAGTCATCTTGCTTCCATCTACAAAAAATGCTGCTGGCATTTTGTTTCTTGTTTTGTTCTGTTTTTTGAGACAGACTCCCAAGCTGTCATCCTGGGTAGAGTGCCATGGCATCATAGCTCACAGCAATCTCCAACTCTTGGGCTCAAGTGATTCTCTAGCCTCAGTTTTTTTATCTTTGGTAGAGATGGGGTCTCACTCTAGCTCAGGCTGATCTAGAAACCGTAAGCTCAGGCAATCCATCCATCTTGGCCTCCCAGTGTGCTAGGATTATTGGCGTGAGCCACCGCACCCCGTCTGCTGCTGCATTACATTTAGAATTATATTTTATCTATAAATCAATTTAGTGAGAACTGATATCATATGTTGAATCTTCCATTGCAAGAATACTGTTTGTTTATTTAGGTTGTTTGATTTTTCACCGGTATTTTGTAATTTTACACATATAGATGTTGTACGTGTTTTGTTCGATTAAAACTGGATATTAATATGCCCATTTCTGTTGTCACATTTTTGTACATAGGACTGGTATTGGAAGACAAAGTTAGAGGACTGTTTCATGCCAGGAGTTTGGGACCAGCCCAAACAACATAATGAGACCCCATTACTACAAAAAAATATTAGAAAAATTAGCTAGGTATGGTGGTGCACACTGGGAGCTACTCTGGAGGCTGAGACAAGAGGATTACTTGTGCCCAGGTGTTTGAGGCTGTAGTGAGGTATAGTCATGCCACTGCACTCAAGCCTGGGCAAAAGAACAAGACTTGTTTCAG